TGATAGCTAGAGAGGGCTGCCTTGTTTGGGTGCTCAAACGTTGAACTGTAGTACGTTGAAAGAGTGATCGCTCGACTCGTGTTAAAAATCCTACACCAAACACGAGTCTATCTCTTCATCCTTTCCTTCCCCTTTTTTCCACAAAAAATAATAATCCTTATTTTGTAGGATTATTATTCGTTTTTACCAACGGTTATCCAACAATTTTCTCTAAGAAAAATTGTGTTTTTGGTCTTTAAATTATAGGACAAACATTAGGAATGTCAATCTTAACCTGAAACTGATAAATTAATCCAATAAGACAAAAAAAATTTAGGGTTAGTGTCAAAATATTTTAGACCAATGAACTCAAAACCGATAAGTCTAATGACCTGAATGGGCTAGCCCGATAATCTTAGTCACTTAAGAATATTCTTTATTTTAGTGTTGTGGAACAAAATATACAAAGATTTTATATGTAAGCTAATATTTAGTTTTTTTTTATTAAATTTGTAAATAAAATTGTAATAAATATATTAATTAATTTATTACAAAATAAAATATGTTTATGAAAATAAATAATGAAAAATAAAATACCCATTATAATTATTATATTATAGTGTAAATATATTAATTAATTACTTTTAGTAGAAATTTGGAAATGGAGATTTAGATTGATTGGATTTTGAATGATGTATAATTTTATACTAGTAGTTTACCCGTGTGATGCACGGTATGAAAATTTTAAGTATAAATGTTATGGTTTCATATCAATCGTTATTTTGACTATAAAAAAGTCAAATTAGTAATAATAAATCAAACTAATCAAAATTACAAATCAACTTACAAATTATTAAAAACAATTATTAAAATACTAATCAAAATTACAAATTATTAAAAAGTTAGTACGTGTATATATATATATATATATATATATATATATATATATATATATATATATTGATAAAAGTTAGTACATATCTTAAAATCAAAGTCTTTATTCATCTTGCAAAAAATCACCCCCCCCCCCCCCCCCAAAAAAAAAAAAAAAAAAAAAAAAAAAAAAAAAACGGAGCGTTATGTTGTGCAACCATGTGCACCATGTTGCAAAAACGACATCGTTTTGACGTCCGCCTTAAAAAAAAAGTTTTAGTTTCGATTGTCGTTAACGACGTTATGTTGTTCATAATTTAAACTATATAGTTCATTCATTCTGGATATATAGTTCATTCATTCTGGATATATATTTCATTCATTCTAGATATATAGTTCATTCATTCTGGATATATAGTTCACTCATTCTGGATATATAGTTCAAATTATGCACAACATAATGTCGTTAATGGCAATCGAAACAATTTTTTTTTAAAGTCGGATGAGTGTTTTTAATCAAAACGACGTCATTTTCGCAACCGTGTGCACCATGCATGATGCACACGGTTGCACGACATAATTTGCGCAAAAAAAAAAAAAAAAAAAAAAAAAAAAAAAAAAAAAAAAAAAAAACCTAAATAACAAACCCTAGACCCATTAATATTATATATCACTAACCATGCTTAAATACTGATTTTTTTTTTTAGAATTAAAAAAAAAAAAAAAAAAAAAAAGACCAACAAACAAATGAAATAATTTAAGAAATTATAACTTAAAACTAAAAAATTTTGAACTTGTATAAATATAAAACTAAGAAATTTTAAATATTTATAATCATAAAACTAAAAAAATGGATGAAATAATTACATGAATTATAACTTATATAAATATAAAATTTGCTATAGGGTAATTTCTCATTTAATATATATTTCCAGATTTATTAACACAGTTGATTTATTTTTTTTCATATACAAAATTATATTCGAATATATTACTTTCAAAATATTTGATTAACCCGGTCCTGTCCGTCTATATATAATGAAGGCACAGTTGAATTTTTTTTTCATATAAAATTACAGAATATTTTTTACAAAATTTAATTCTAACATTTGTTAAAGGGAAATATTGGATTTAAATATTGATTAATCCGTGTATATATATATATATATATATATATATATATATATATATATATATATATATATATATATATATGTGTGTGTGTGTGTGTGTGTGTGTGTGTGTGTGTGTGTGTATAAAATAAGGGCACAGTAATTTTTAAAAAATACAAAATTATAGAAAATATTTTTTCTATAATTAATTCAAACATTTGTTAAGGGGAAATATATAACTTAAATATTAGATTAATCATTCTATAAAATGAGGAAAATAAACATTCTCTAATATTTCTATACTACTTAGTCTATTATGAACATACTAATATTTAATGTTTAAGAAATACTAATATTTAATGTTTATGAACATACTAACGTTTAATTGTTTGTATTTCACTTTTGAGATTTTTATTCACATTGACATTGTTTTGGAGTCTGACGTTATTCACATATGTGAAGCATGCTCAAAATCATTTAAAAAAAAAAAAAAAAAAAAACAAACAAACAAATACTCCAGATTATTTAAGGGTACCTTTGGCTTCTTTCTCATACCCGTGGTGGTTTATTTCTTCAACATTTTCATTTTTCATTCACATACAACTGCAGAACTCACAACTCACATACTATATATGAAATTGGATTTACATAATTTTTTATGGTGCAACAACGCATGCACCTTAATCTTCAACCAACTGTCTTCTTCCCCCTCGTGAATGCGGTCGCGGTCCCAACAAGCCATATGCAGCTCCACGGCAGCACCAACATTTTTCTCCACAAGACTTATTTATAGGGTTCAGGTTTATCGCGCTATGTATGTGTATATTTAATATAATGTTAATATTGAGAATTTCAGAAGTTTTCGTTCACTTTGCATTCACATTTGTATTTATGATTTGTAATAGTGATTAAGCATACGAAGTGGTAGAATATATATCCTCTTAAATGGTTAATTAAACAAAAATTCTGATATGTATATAACCTTTCAAATACCAAAATATTTATAAAAAAAAAATTACAAATCCAATAAACATTGGACAACGAAGAGTTACATAAAGTAATTAATAAAAATATTTATTTAATCTAAATGTTATATATATATATATATATATATATATATATATATATATATATATATATGATAGCAAGGATAAAGATAATAATTGTAAAAGTAATATGTTTGATTTACCTTCACAAAAAATATAAAAATGTTTTGGAGGGAAAATTTGGTGACCTTGAATTTTGCTTTATTATATATAAAGAAGATAAAGATTTATTAGTGTAAATGTGCTAGTTTATAAAAATTAAAAGTTTAATTAGAATGTCAATTTAAAAATGTTAAAAACTTTTAATTGAGCCCGCTTAATAAGCTCGACAACCTAAGATGTTAGGGTTAGGGACAAACATTTTAAACTCGACCCGAAAATCTATTACGTTCGACAACCCGATAAGGCTAGTGCGAAACTGAACAATAGTTATGCCATGAACAATAATCAAATTGTGAACATTCAGTGTGTAAATTATGAACATTTAGTAAGTAAATTGTGAACATTCAGCATGTAAATTGTGAACACGCAGTAAGTAAATTGTAAACATTCAGTATATAAAAATTGTGAACATTCAGTATGTACATTGTGAAAATTCAGTATATAAATCGTGTATTTTTGGATCCAAGTCCTCTTTGCAAGGTGGACCTGAGTCCACAGCATAATTTGCCGAAATCGAATGAGCTGGCCCGATTGATATGCTTAAGGCAAATTATTATGTGGATCATGGTCCACATAGTGCTGTATGAACCAAAAAAGAAAATACATTTTTAATATACTAAAAATACATTATTTTTGTACTGAATGTACATTATTTTATGGTATACAAAATATTTTCCACACAATAATGATTGATATGCTTAACAATCATAAGTTTAATATTTAGTTATCATGATCAAGTTCCTAGGATAAAACTTGCTAATGATTCAATGTTTGAGCACTCAAACAAGGAATCCGGCGAGCAAGACAATGGCTATGAACACAGTAGGCCAAGAAAGGGTAGAAGCAGAGAGGTTTTGAAGCTGAAAAACGAACTTTTGTGTTCTATGTTTCTGTGTGTAAAACTCTACTGCCTCTACCCTCTCTTATATAGGGTTGAAGAAGCCAATAGCCTTTATTATGGCAATTAAAAATGACATTAAAGCTGCCTTCCAACAGCTATAACAGCAGGCCACTACCTGGGAATTGAATTCAGAATTCAAAATTGGAATTAATAGACAATTAATTCCGTAACAGATGAATTCAATCCCCTCAACAGTCAGAACTTTCGGGTTCCTGACCGTTAGCGTACAGGGTTCGGTCTCAACTTTCGACCTCATCCAGTTTCGGCCCTTGCACCTCTCGTGGACTCTGTTGCACGAGAGTTGTGCTCTCGGTGCACCACTACACGAGAGTAGGTGGCTGTTGCACGAGAGTTGTGCTCTCGGTGCACCACAACCTCTCGTGCTCTCTTGTAGCACGAGAGTAGGTGCTGGCCGAACCAAGTGGCAAATTTTCGGACATTCGTGCCCCCAGGTGCCAGCGCACACGAGCTCGGGCTTGAATCAAGCCTTTTTCAATCCCTGCTAGTTGGAATTTGATTATTTATAAAAAAAAAATTAATATATTTAAGTGAATTTGATAAATTTGTGCCATTTGTATGAACCTAAAATATTATTTTTATGAACAGTTTACAATATTATTTTTTAAAAAAATGACTATTTTAGTCACTCACTTATACTAGAATAATCAACTCAATCCCTTAATTATACATGTGATCATATTTAGTCCCAAAATTGTTTGTTTAGTGATCATTTTAGTTCCTCATCTCATATAACGGTTAAAATTAAAAATGATGGAAGAGTAAATATGAAATTCATCAGTTTCCTCCTAAACCACACATCAAATAAGTGAAAAACATACCAAGACTATGTGGTTTAATGGTACCCGGGTTGGACTTCCATTGAGTCTCAATGTAAGTGAAAAAAAAAAGTATATGAACAGATAGTACATTGTAATAGAGCCAGTAACATTCAAAAAAAAGTGAAAAACATATTTTAAGTCAAAAGCATCAGACAATAACTTTGTTTTCTTTGCAAATTCATTTAAGAAAAAATCACTTTTTTAGTCGTTCAATTGTTTTGTAACCATCAATTTAGTCCATAATTTTCAATCCGAACGAATTGACCCTCCAATTGATTTAAATTTTGTCAATTAAATCCCCTAACCACTATTTTGTCACTCAGTCGTTAGTTACCCTAAATGATATATTTGACAAAATTGAAAACAATTATAGGGGTTAAATCGTTCAAATTGAAAATTAAGGACTAAATTGAATGCTGCAAAAAAAATTTGAATGACCAAAACAATGATTTTTCCTTCATTTAAATACTTTTTAACAAACAAAAGTACTCTTATAGCTAAATGTTTTTAAATAATTAAGGTAAGTTAAGAAAATACTAGTAATAAAGTGAAAAAATGCAATACTTTTAAGTCAAACAAATTTTGATTTCTTTCAACCAAATGTGTAAGTGTGTGCAAACTTCAATAGAAAATCGATTAACCGACCAAATCGAAGAACTTCGGTTAACAAAATTTTAACCAATATAATTCAGTTGATCAGTTAATGATTATAGATTTTACATAATGCATATTATCGATTAATTAGGTTCAAAATTATCGATTAATTAAAGGGAATTAAAATTTGATTGACTTAAAAGTACTGTATTTTTTTTTCATTTTATTACTAGTATTTTCTTAATTTCTCTTAATTATTTTGAAAACATTTTAGCTATATGATTATTTTTATTCTTTAATGAATATTTAAATGAATTTACTATCTTTAAAAATTTTAATGAATTTACTGAGAAAACAAAAATATAGAGTCATATGTTTTTTACTTAAAATATATTTTTAACTTATTTGATATGTTCTTTATAAGAAATTAAAATTGATGAATTTATATATTTATCTTGTATCGATAACCCGTTAATTTTAACAGCTATTTGAAATTAAATGAGAGATTAAATGATTTGGGAGTAAATGAGATGACATGCATGTATAAATCTTTTTATTATAAAGAAGGGAGTATCCTACATATACACACTACTTGCCTCAAGTGAGAGGAATGACATGCATTTATAATTAGTTAGCTATTCTACTGAAGGATTAAAACGACCATTCCTCCATATTTTTATATACCTAGTCCATGATAAAATTTGTTGTGGCTGTGGGCTGTGGCCACCTATATATATATATATATATATATATATATATATATATATATATATATATTCTTTGGGGGAGTTTGGTTCAGGACTTCAGGTTATGTAAGATAATCAAGGTTATATTTGCCTAGTAATATAAGATTCTTATGTTTGGTTCACGTTATATAACTTTTCCAGGGAATGTCAGATAACCTCCGCATTAAGTTTTTAGCTATTGGAAGGGAATGTGAGATACCCTCCAATTTCTTAGGTAATTTCACATTCCAATGTCTTATTACTAGTGTTGGGCTTTGGACGTTTTAATCAATTTATCTTATTACCGTTGTTTTATTTACATATCTTAGTTTTAAACCAAACACAAGAATCTAACATTCCCAGTAATCTAACATTCCCGGCAATTTAACATTCCCTAAGGTAATTTAACATTCCGTGAACCAAACGCCCCAGTTTATACCCCTTCTTCATTAAGAAAAGTAGCCGTTTTAATTTGCATCCATATTCAGAGTTCCATTTCCGGGTTCTTGATGTTACCCAGTTTCTAATCTAGAGATTTTAGTGTAGGAAAAGCACAAGATTGCATACTGCAAATATATCTAGGAAAATTCTTAATTATATATATAGTCAAATTTCCAAGAGTTCGTTCTCCCCATTATATTTTACTCAAAGTTACCTGTCATTACACCTTTTGTCACAAACTACATCATAACAGTATATAGTTAACGATGTATTGTGGTAAAGTTTAAAAAGTATGAGTAGATGTAACAATATAACAATATATAGTTAACGACTAACAGTGATCAAATTAACTCATTTTGGCCCCTATTAGTTGAATTTAATGTCTTCATTAGTAGAGGTTGAGACCAAAGCATCACTCTTCTCACAACTTAAAAACTAAAAGTGAGGATGCAATAAACAAAGATTGTGCCAACTATTTTATTGTGATTGAAGGATCAAAGTTGTAATTTTTTTTATTTTATATTATAAAATGTTTTATTTATAAACAAAAATTCATTCGTTAGATAAGAAAGGTGAAATGGCTTCTGACTCCCTCTCATTTATTCCGCCACCGACAGCAACCAATAGGTCGCCGGAGGAGCAAGATCTCCTTGAAAGAAGCACCAAGAAGACCAAAAGAGGACGCGATATGCTAGAAGGGGCCTCGGCACCAAGGCTTGACGAACCCTTTGAGAACACAGGGGGTGTTGGTACCCCGGATTTCGGCCAGTGGAGAACACCGGCGGCAACCCCAAGTGAATCCTGGAATAGGCGCGAAGGCAAACAACCGCTGTAAGAAGAGGAGGATTCGGAAGACAATGAAATGGAAGAAATTGAAACCATAAATGGTTATCCGGTCATCCATGTCTCTAAGGAAGAAAAAGAAAGACTGAGGCGGCCTTGGCACCGTTCTCTAATCATCCGTTTAGTGGTCAGAACTGTAGGTTACTCCTTTCTGCTTCAAAGGCTTCAGCGCATGTGGCGAACAGAGGCTCCATTTGAGTTAATAGCACTGAACAACGACTTCTATTTGGCTAAGTTCGAATCGATTAGGGACTACGAAGCGACTAAATTCGGTGGACCTTGGATGGTGTTCGACCACTATCTAACCGTTCAACAATGGCGACCCAATTTTGATACAAGAATCAGCAAGATGGAGAAACTACTCCCTTCACAATCAGCGCGTGGATTCGCTTCCCTTCACTCCCAATTGAATATTTCGATGAACGATTCCTCAAGAAAATCGGGAAGACAATTGGCCGCCCCATCAAGACTAACACAACGACTAGCACCGCCTCCAAGGGAAAGTTCGCAAGGGTGTGCATTGAGTTTGATATTACGAAACCTCTTTTATCGAGATTTGTCCTTGATGATGTCGAGTGGCCTATTGAATATGAGGGCATCCACTTGGTGTGCTTCAAATGCGGTGTTTATGGCCATCGACAGGAGAATTGTACTGGATGTGGAGCTAGTAATACGCAGAAGCAGAATGGAGTACCAAAAATACCTGCCAAAACCAATCTAATGCCAGCTGAGAGATATGGAGCTTGGATGTTGGTCACAAGAAGAGACAGAAGGAACAATGCAGAATAGTCAAATAAACAGACGAATCTTCCGCCCAGAACAACTCATAGAGCGAATTCTCTTAATGAAGGTCATACGGGTGGTATTGTGGTGGAGCAGACCATGTTCAGTGCGTTGGATGGACTTGAGGAGGAGGCAAACGCCCAGGGACGGATTCCACAATCGGAATTGCCAATACTGCAACAGCCCTCTGTCGAACTACCACAGATCCGAACCAACTATTGAAGACCTCGACCCCAGAAGGAACCAATTACAGCCCAGCCTAACCAAGAGACTGCTGAGCAGAGTGCTGCGCAGCAACATCACCCTTACATAGGCCGTGGAGGAATCCGTGGACGAGGTGGAAGGGGAGGAACTCCCAATAGAGCCGCAGCGGAAAGAGAGAACATCGTCGTTCGTGGGACAAACGGAGGAAGGAATATTACAAGCAAAGTAGTATTTCATAACGAGGATCATCTGGGATTCTCGCCTCATACCGTAATGGATGAACATCAAAGATAGGTTTCCTCTAATCCTGTGACTCCTTTGGAAAAAGACTACAGACATGATCCTCCTGACCCCATGATTGGGGTGGAAAAAGATCATGTGCATAATCCCCCGGTATCTGGTCGGGGCAACCTTGAAATAGGAGACCCCCTAGACGCCGCTATGTTGGATGATTCTGAGCAGCCTGATTGCATCACCGTAAACCGGTAGCGCCAAGGTGCGCCTATTGCCCCTCCACTATCTTAATGATAGCTCTCGTTTGGAACTGTCGGGGTTCAGCGTCTAACTCATTTAGACGCACTCTGAAACAGATCTTGTGTATATATAACCCATCTGTTATTTGTCTTTTGGAGCCCAAGATATCGGGAAACCAAGCTAATAAGGTTTGTTCAAGTTTCGAGTTTGATGACTGGATCCGGGTAGAAGCGGTAGGCTACTCTGGTGGTATATGGCTACTATGGAAAAAGGTGTTAAGAGTGGAGGTAATTAGTACCCACCCTCAATTCATATCAATACAGGTGAGGGACCAAGACTTTGATTTTTGGTTCCTTTCCATAGTTTACGGAAGCCCCGACCAGTACTTGAGAAGGCGTCTCTTCTCAGACCTCCCGGGCAGCGTTCTGAATCCTCAGTGGCCCTGGGCAATAATTGGGGATTTCAATGCGGTTACATGTCGGGAAGAGGTTAGCAGCACGGAGACCTTCAACAATGCACTCCAGAAGCTCTAACTTTAATGAGTGGATATTCAATGAGGGTCTGATAGATCTAGGCTACACGGGTCCAAGATATACATGGATGAGAGGCTTCAACTCGGAGTTTTTCAAAGGAGCAAGATTGGATATGGCACTAAGTAACATTTATTGGAGACTAAGGTTTCCAAATGCTAGTGTTCATCATCTGCCAATTGTAGGTTCAGATCACTCCCCTCTTCTCCTTAACACTGCGGGAAGTCAGGTGAACAATAAGCCAAGGTCTTTTAGGTTCAACCTGGCATGGGCATCCCACCCTTCTTTCCTCTCGGTGGTGAAAGCAAACTGGAACAGCGCTACTGATCTAGATGAAAATAAAAGAAGAATGGCGGAGGTGTTGCCCAGATGGAACAAGGACACATTCGGAGATGTATTCCAAAGGAAAAAAAGATTGCTTGCAAGGATTGAGGGTATCCAACGGAAGATCTCGCTGAATGCAAGGTCTGATTTAATTAGACTAGATAGAAAGCTGGGGAAGGAATTGGAGAATACACTCTATCAAGAGGAGTTGATTTGGTTCCAACGATCTAGAGAGGAATGGGTAACATCGGGTGATAGAAATACTCGATTCTATCACACTGCGACGTCTGTCAAAAGAAATAATGCAAGGGTAACTAGTTTAACTTATGAGAATGGCCAGATCTTTACGAAACAGAGTAAAATCCTAGAACATGTTCGCAGCTACTTTGTGGAGCTATTCTCGGAGGAAATATGGGGGAATGCTCAATCCATACAACTGGGCTGTTTTCCGGTATTAAGTGAAGTGGAATGGACTGGTATCGACCTGCCCCTTTCCAAGGATGAAGTCAAAGCAAACTTATTTGAGATGGCACCATGCAAAGCCCCCGGTCCGGATGGAATTTCGGCCAGCTTTTACCAGAAAACCTGGGGTATTGTAGGAGACAGTTTGTTCAATTATGTGAGCAAGTTCTTTGACGATGGAATACTGCCACCAAACTGTAATGACACTCTGATTTCTCTTATACCAAAAGTCCCTAACCCGAGCAATATTAAACAGTTCCGTCCAATTAGCCTCTGCAATGTGTCTTATAAACTCATTACCAAAATCATATCTGCGAGGCTTAAAGCGGTTTCAGGTAAGTTGATAGGCCCACACCAAACCAGTTTTATACCAGCAGGAAGACAAATTTCAGACAATATACTTGTCTATCAAGAAGCTCTTAACTCAATGAAGAACAAGAAAGGGAGCAAAGGTTGGATGATGATGAAAATTGACTTGGAAAAAGCATATGACAAACTTTCATGGGCTTTCATCAACGATACCCTCCAAGACATTGGCTTTAGCAACAAATGGACAAGGCGTATTATGGAGTGCATATCATCAACAAGGATGTCTATTCTATGGGATGGCCTCAAATCCGAATGGTTCAAACCGGGAAGGGGAATTCGCCAGGGAGATTCTATGTCACCCCTAATATTTGTGCTTTGTATAGAGAGACTAAGCCACATGATTCATGCTTCATTAAACAGAGGCTGCTGGAAAGGTATGAAATTAGCTAGACATGGTCCTGACATTACTCACCTCTTCTTTGCAGATGATTTAGTCCTCTTTGGTGAAGCTACGGAGCGGCAAGCTACGGAGATGAAGAGGTGCCTGGACGAGTTTTGTGCATGCTCAGGACAGAGAATCAACTTGATGAAATCTACCACCTTTTTTTCCAGGAACGTGGATGGAAATCTAAAGCAAAACGTAGCCTCTATAGCAGGATTCCCAACTGTGTCCGACTTGGGCAACTACCTGGGGATTCCCTCTATACATGGATGACTCAAAAGCGATTCATTCGCTGCTGTTTTGGAAAGAATACAGGCGTGACTATCAGGTTGGAAATCGAAAACTCTCTCCCTAGCAGGAAGAATCACCTTAGCCCAATCGGTCCTTTCGGCAATCCCGTATTATTCAATGCAAACGATGCTTATGCCGGTAAGAGTAACAGATCACATTGAGAAGCTCATTAGGGGATTTATATGGGGTAGCAAGGAAGGAGAAAGGAAGTGTCATCTTGTCAAATGGGATGTGTTAACCAGAAGCAAAGCAAGTGGAGGGCTGGGTATTCACAAACTAGAGTAGATGAACTTGGCATTCCTAGCTAAACTTGGCTGGAGACTGTTACAAGATGAAGAGAGCCTATGGGTTAAAGTCATGAGAACCAAGTATAAGATAACAGACTCTGATCCTTCAATATGGAAGCACAAACAAAACCAGTCCAATGCTTGGAAAGGGATACTGAAAGTTGTACCAATCCTCCAAAAGGGTGTGAGGAAACAAGTCGGAAATGAGAAGAACACACTCTTTTGGACCGACAAATGGGTGCATGAAAGACCTCTAATCGAAATGGCGACCAGCTCTGTACCGGAAGCCGAACATAATAAAAAGGTGGCTAGCTACTGGAATTCTGAAGAAGGGTGGCAGTGGGACCAGTTTGATAACTTACTGCCAGTAGAGATCCTGAACAAGATAGCTGCTTTCATGCTAAGCGAAGATCAGGAGACGCAAGACGCAATTAGCTGGAGCAAGGAAGCTTCAAGAGATTTTTCGGTCAGATCAGCTTACAGAATAGCCTTGGGTGAAGATGATCAGGTTGAACCCTCTAAATGGAACAATATTTGGAAACTTAAAGTTCCAAATAGGGATAGAACATTTATGTGGCTCGTTGCCCATGGCAGAATTATGACTAACAGTGTCAGAATGAAGAGGAAGATCACACTAGATGATAAATGTTGGCACTGTGGCGACAAAGTGGAAGATGTGGAGCATGTTCTTAGGACATGCCCTGAAGCAGTATCGGTTTGGAATGCCTTGCTGCCTAACTCACGGTTGAACTGTGCGTCGATCCCCTTTGAAAATTGGTTGGATCAAGGTATAACGGGGAAGAGGACCGACAGACGTCCACATGACACAAGCGCTCAATTTGCAGTAACGGCGTGGTGGTTATGGAGGTGGAGGAATGAAGCAGTCTTTAATAACACGAAGAATCCCCTAAATGTCAAAATCTCTTGGATAAACTCGCAGCTGGGAGACATTGACAGGGCACTCCAGAAAGCTAAATTTGTGACTCAACCCCAGGAGCAATAAGCCTGGAGGCAGCTGTCATGGACTAAACCACCGCAGGAATTTGTAAAGATAAATGTTGACGGATCAGTTAATCCAGCTACCGGCAGAGCAAGCTGCGGAGGTGTGGCCAGAAACCACTCCGGGGAATGGATGCATGGGTTCACTTATAGCATTGGCAATTGCTCTCCACTTGAAGCCGAGGCCTGGGCACTGCTCAAAGGAATTCAGCTGGCGGTGTCAAGGGGAATCACAAAGGCAGTTTTTGAGAGCGACGCGGAAGAAATCACAAGGTTCATGAACAGCGAAGACAGGCCTAGAATCACAGCTCACAATATATTAGAAGCTTGCAAAAAGGAGTTAAGAGCTTTGAAAACTTGGCATGTCTCTTCAATCTTTAGAGACCAGAACCAAGTTGCGGATGCATTGGCGAAGCAAGCAACACGATTTCCCCCCGGTCTACATATTAATACCGATCCACCTGATGAAATATTAGGCCTTTTAGAAGATGATGCCTCTGGGATACCCAGATGGCGTGAGTGTCTTGTTAAATACTAGTAAAATGTAATAGTATTTGGATCCCCCTTCCAATTCAAATAAAAAAAAAAAAATCATTCCTTAGACCGTTAAAAGAAATAAAGTTAACAAATAAAAAAATATTGATTTGAATATATATCCACATCAAAATAAATTGACATGACAATAATAACATTATTATCGCATTAAAATTTTTTATACTGTACTAAATTTAAAATATGTAAATTAAATAATATTATATGACTATTGATAGAATAGTTGCGGGCTTTGTTTAATTGTTAATTTATTACATTGAACAGTGTTGAAAGATATTTTAATGCTTTGAGCAGTGTAGACGTGGCGTGTAGTTGGGATTTTGTTTTGGACACATTTTTGTGAACTCGTGATTATTTGAATAATTGAATGTAAGATTTGACATTTGTATCCTTGAGTATTAGGTATCCTTTCTTTTATATTTATATTTGTGGAAAACAATATTTTTGTCGTTTCGTGTAAGAAAAAAATAAATTGACCAAGCCCATCTCAAAAAGTCAAGAATTGATAAAAATTTTAAAAATACTGTTTATAATTTTATATTCTAATTAAATGATATTTTTTAAAAAAATACTTATGATTTTTTACATAATAACTGTTATGACTTCGAACGAATATCCAAACATTTAAAATGGTACTACATGGTAATTGGTAATTAAATGATACTATATATATTAATCAAATACTTCATAAAATAACAATAAGTATACTAAAATTCATTAAAAATGGCAATATTATATTTTTTATCTATAAAAATCAATATCTAATATTCACTAATAACTTATGTATTATTGTTATGATGATGATGATTATGATTATTATAGTATTAATTTTTTATTTTATTATTGTTATTGTATCTCATAAAAATCAACAAAGTTATCAATTACTATAACATAGTGTTTGGTTGAAAAGAGGGAATAGGGAGGAAAAGAATTATAATTCAGTGAGAAAGAATACGGTGAGATTAAAAAGGAATTCAAATTACATTGTTTGGTGAAAGGAAATAAGTGAATAAAGACTAAAATGACCTTATGTAATAATAATAATAATAATAATAATAATAATAATAATAATAATAATAATAATAATAATAATAATAATAATAATAATAATAATAATAATAATAATGTCCACTATTGTGTAATGTGATGATACATCTGTTACCATTCCAAATGGGTGGTCACATAATCGAACCTAGTAGTAGAAACATTGATTTTTTAAATTGAACCCTAGTATATCCATCATTTATGTCCATGTTTTTAATGCTAATCATTTTATACATTGTGCTTTTAAAGTTGTACTATGTAATTTTTTGGACAAACATACCCCTACCGTTATAATTTCCATTATCTTTTCCATTATTGTTACCATGTACATGCATCCTCCATATATTTTCTTATATTCTTGAATGATAATAATATTTGTAGATATTATGTATTGGATTATTGTAATAAATAAATTTGATTTATTATAATTTTAATTAGTATGAATTTGTTAATTATTTTAAAAAATATAAATATTGGGCATATAGTTTTGCGCATAGAAAACACTAGTCTAAAAACATAATAAGTGTCAATACAAGTTATGTCATTGATTTTTGTCCCTTTTTTTATATGCTAATAAATATATACACCTTGCTTTAATTGTTGTACATTTGATTTGTATTGGACAAAATTACCCTTACACCGTTAGTATTTAATATATCCACCAATCTTACCATACACCTACATCTATCATATCTTTTTCTTATTTTTAGTTATCATTTTATTAAAATTATCAAATAACAATTTTTTTTTTTTGAATGCTACTAGCTCTATTACAATGTAGTATCTGTTCATATACTTTCTCAACCTACGCCTCCACTGAGGCTCGAAATCACAATCTTCTAAATGGAAGTCCAACCCGGATACCATTAGACCACATAGTCCTGGTTTATCATATAACAATTAATTTAATCATAAATTATATTTTAATTAAATATTTATATGAATATTAAATTTTAATTATAAATAATATGTATATATATTATTTGTGTATACATATCAATATATCATATATGTGGGTGTTAGCTTAGTATTATTTGTAAATTATTATTATTATTATTATTATTATTATTATTATTATTATATATATATATATATATATATATATATATATATATATATATATTGTTTGGATCACTTTAAGGAATTGTGAAACATAATTTTAATTAATTTTTTAAATTTTATTATTTAATAATATTTTAATATTGGGCATAAGTTTTCGCGTATCGCGCGTACAAAATGCTAGTTTAAAGTATAAGAGTAATGCATAGATAAGCAAAGTGTAAGAATTAAATAATGAGACATAAAAGAGTGAATTATGCAGATTTGAGTGAAGGAAAATAAGGATAAAAATATGGGCAGTTGGGCATCAATCCCCACAGGCATTGAATGAGCTTTTTATGTTTTCTAAACTACAGTGTTAAATGCAGACAACTAAGCACTTCTACGTTAGTTCCTGCTCGCTCTCCCCAATCAAATGGGCTATTCCTATTCCTATTCCTCTCCCTCCCAATGTCCACCACCAACTCCTCCTCCTCCGTCGTCTACGCCGCCGCTCCTCCACCATACCATCCTTCTTTCCCCGACAACTTAGGCACCATTGGCTTAGGCTACGCCATTGCTATCGCCTTTGGCTTCCTTCTCCTCTTCTCCGCCCTCCTTCTCGCTTCCTGTAGCTGCTGCAGGGCAATCGCCTCCCGCCGCCGCCGCCGCCGCGAGGAACAGTTTCCGGCCCGGAACTCGCACGCCGCCAGAGAGATCAGTGTCTATCTCCCCCGCATGATCTTCGTGGCCGACGAGGATGATGACGATCCCGGGGCGGCTCAGAACGTTATTGGCCTCCAACAGGCCGTGATCAACTCTTACCCGAAGCTCGCGTACTCCGAGAACAACTCTCGTTTCACCGGAGACGATGCGGTGTGTTCCATATGCCTGTGCGACTACAAGGATTCGGAGATATTAAGGATGTTGCCGGATTGTAAACATTGCTTTCACGTAGGTTGTGTTGATGCGTGGCTGAAACTCAACGCCTCGTGCCCAGTCTGCCGTAATTCCCCGCTGCCAACGCCGCTTTCTACTCCGCTCTCGGAAGTCATCCCGATTTCTCAGTACTCCGATGGCCGGAGGAGGCTATAATTGAACCGACACCCCTGACACCGAGAATGTAAATCATGGTAACTCAGTGGCTTAGCAGACATAACCAAATATAGATGCTCACAAATGATCTGTCTAGTTTAGAGAAACTGAATTTCGAACATTGATTTCTCCTTCTAAATACTGCTTACTGAATCAACCAGTTAAAATTTGATTTTGGTTGGTTTAGATCTCTTGTCAATTTTTTCAACTATCTACATAGAGTGGAATCTTGGAATCAAGTTAATTAGCATATTATATTTTTCCTTCTAAAACGAATGAATTATTATGTTTATCATTGAGAATGCCAAAAAGCTGGAATCTTGGTCATCATTAATTTTTTCTTATCCCTAACTTTTTAGTATGAAGCTAAGGAGGTTAGTTGGTGAGTTCATGTATGATTTTATTACTATACAGAACTTGTGTTAACTAATAAACTGACTTTCTTGTTTGTTTATGGATGAAACATTTGCATTTGAGTCATGAATTGGAGAAGGAAGAAAAAGCTAACTTCAAAGGTGGGAACTTGGGACAGCCCATGTCTTTTTGAGTCATCTTTTGTTGTTTGCTTTAACTTTTGTCTCTTTGAATCTAATTTATCTATGCACTAGGAAGTGTGGAACTATTTGGAGGCATTTTCATCTTGTCTACATTTTATGACCCTTAAATTGTTTTTACTTCAATCAAGAAGAAAAAAAAAAAAAAAAAAAAAAAAAAAAAAAAAAAAGGTCAAAAGGTAGGCATTTGGGATTCACCCATCACCGTGGCCTTTAGGGGTCAACTTTGTGGTTTCCCTTGCCTATTTTTTCTCCATTTGAATTTGAATATAAAAACTAATAAGTGCAGATAAACTCTTATTACATATTTTAATTTAATTCTATATTAAGTTAATTAGAGCATGACATGTCAATTGAAAATCAAAAGTGATAATATATGCACAGTATTAGGGTGAGCATGCACCAACTAATTCGCCAATTTCACCCCAATCCAATCCATTCCGCATCTGCCTAAGTGAATGGAAAATGATGTGACTTTCTAAAACATTTTATATCCAATTCATTCCGCTAATTTGTGCGACGTTGTATAGAAATGATATGACGTCGACTAAATAAATAACTCTCTCTCTATATATATATATATATATATATATATATATATATATTAATTATTAAAACATACAACGTCGGCTATTAACAAATAGCCGACGTTGTATGTATATTAAAAAAAAAATTAGATACATTACAACATCGGTTATATCGTAATAACCAACGTTGTAATGTATTTATTTTTTTCTAAATATACATACAACGTTGGCTATTTGTTAATAGCCGACGTTATATGTGTTTGTTTGTTTATTTTTTAATATGACATTTATTTATCAATTTATACCCAAAACACGCTCAAATTACTCACAACCGCATCCTCAAATATGGCATCACAACCACAACAAAACACGTAGAATCTAATATTTATAATCTCACAAATAATAAAGTAATAAATCTCACAATTTGATACTAATTAATAATACAATTTAAAATTATCAAGCTAAGATCAATTATATTACTTCACATATTTAACCATATATCAATTAAGAACTCGGACCATACGTCTCTAACTTGATCAATCTCTTGTTGAATGTAGCTCGATCCACCAACTCTCTCAACGATCTACAAAGTTGATAATTAATAAATAATTAGTAAGCTAGCATTTTTAAAATTAGAATGAGAAAGGTATTTTATTAAATTACTTGTCTTATTCATTCCCCCGCATGCTTCTTTGGAAAGAATTTCAAGCATATATTTCATCACATAATATCCACATTCCGTACTTCCAACTTGTTAGGCACACTACATTTGAATTAAATTATATTTAAAATTTTATTTAATAAAAAACAATAAAATATATGTAGTTCTACAAATGTATAAAGTACTTACCAAAATTTTAATCCAATTTAGTGGACGAGTTGATTTCTTTCCATTCAACAAACTTGTTGATTTCACACACCTAAAATTATAAGAGATAAGTATACATAAATACTTTGTGACATCGTACTTTATTAATAATAATTATTAATACTTATAAGTTCACATACGTTTCAACTGTCTTTAATGTCATCACGTGGTTCGCCTCCAATGGAATCAAACCAATAGATTTCATTTACTTGAGGACAAATTGCCATCAACATCCAATGCTCACTACAGATAAATAATTTATTAGTTGTAAGTAAATATAATATATAATAGAAGTATATTATATATAAGTTATTTTATTTGAAACAATTAAAACTTATATTTTAAAACATATGGGGCTAAATAGCATTGTTTCTGTCCATATTACATGGTGACGTTTATATACCTTGTCCGTTCATCTATAGTATTCCATTTTGGTTGAATACAATATGGATCTAAGAAGCCATCTTTGATGTCATTTCAAATTTTTCATAAAGACCCCTATTCAGAAATACAACCAATCATATATATTAGTAATATAATAGATGAAATGAAAAATACTATAAACAAATAATAGTAAAGAACTTAATTATTACCTTATAAAGAACCGCAAACAAGAAATATCTATGGTCCGTTTACTAACAGAAAACTGTTCTCTGTTTTCTTTTTTCTAATTTTTTAGTTTTTATTTTCTGTTTTTCGTTCTCTGTTTAGAAAACTTGTTTATTAACAAAAAATTGTTTTCCGTTTTCTATTTTCTAATTTTTCAGTTTTCACCTAAAATTTAGTTTAGATAATATTAATATTTTTTGAGCTAATATTTAAAATATTTTTTTTGGCTATATTCATTTGAATGACATGTATATGAATATATAACTTTTACTTTGAATTCTAACTAGTATTTGTCCCGTGTAATGCACGGAAAATATGTTATAAAAATATACCCTATATGAGATTTATTCATATATAAAATTTTTGTTATTTAATAATTATTGTGTGAATTCCTATGATAAAGTTATGAACATAAATATATTTACAATTAAAATAATATTTAAGGTGGGTCATTACTACAAATCTTAAACTATATTAAAAATTTAGTACATAATATTTAATATTACAAATTTTTAAGAACTTAGTAAACTACAATAGTATTGAATTACAATTTTAGAGTTACCACGGATCAAAATTTTTAGACCTTTGAGATTTCTAACTCTAGATGTAGCAACATACAATTGACCTTTAAAGACCAAACAATCACAATCTTAGTTCGAACATTGATTTTTTCTTCCAAATACTATCGAATTAAGTGTGTAATCAATCAAAGATGAGAACTAATAATTCGAGAATATAACCTTAATGTTACTAAGCCTACTTCACGTCAATTAAGTTGGAGAGTGTTGTTGGATAGTATCCAATGAATCCACGAATAACGCATCTTTGTCTCCGTAGTCCTCGATATGCACATCAACAATCTTAAATATTAGGCCGCCTAGGTATGCTATATATTAATTTCAAACTTATGGACTTTGGGGTTGCACATGTGGTGTGCATGCATGCTTCTTAAAGCCATATGGTCTTGTGAAAATTAAATGTTGTTAATACCAACATTTAACCATTAATATCAACATGGTCTTGTGAAAATTAAATGTTGTTAATACCAACATTTAACCATTAATATCAACATTTAATTTTCACAAGACTATATAACTTTATTATAATTAAGATATATGTGAGATTTCAATATCCGATATCTGGACCGAACTTGTATTATGATGTAACATAATTAAAAATATTCGAACTATTAATCGATTGAGTTCAATCAAAATCTAAAACATTATATAGATTTTAATTCTTAATTTTGATAATGTAAATAATGTCTAATTTTAAAGTGTAAGCAAATAAATTATGTTTAAATAAGTAAAGTAAGTAGAAAAGATAGAAGACAGTGATAAGTAAAATAAGATGATAATGAATGTAATCATAGTAATGTTGTTATAGTGACATATAACTAAATAGATGATAGATGATTATGTTTTCCATTTTGAAAACAGTTTTTAAGTGTGTTCCAATTTTCCAGAAATTTCTAGAAATTATTTTCAGTTTTCAAAATGGAAAACTGTGTTAGTAAACATGTTTTCTGTTTCCTATTTTCCAGTTTTCGGAAATTTTCAGTTAGTAAATGGCCCCCTAACGTCTCCATTCTTAAGAAACACATAATCTCCAACTGTTCAAGATGTACCTTATATTCAACATCGCCCACAATACCACGACACATATTTATCACAAGATTTTGATCAAGTTTGCGAACAATTTTATATGCCTTTAGACATAGAGGACTCAAAGAAGTCGGACCAGCTATAGTCATCAAATCAACATAAGGTTGTTGCACAGCGGATTCATAAGTCATTTTGGACTTTCTTTTACACTGTTCAATATAAGTAACAATTACTATTTTTAAAAAGTAAATTAAATACTATTTTAAAATCCAAAAATTTAGAAAATATATACCTCATCAGCTTGGGTATATAAGCTGAACCTCATCGGTAGGGAAGGGTACCTTTGCACTTGAAACAATAATTTCACCCATGCTGACCTTCTCTTGATCTACATTAAATTGTATCTCGTGAACCCTTTCAGCCTTGTAAACTGTCCCACCTGCCACTTTACGTCTAACGGGATCTTCCAAATACAACTCGCATTGTGCTCCTAACAGCATGAATTCATATTTAAAAATATCTAAAATGTTTTTAATAAATAATAATAAGATTAGCTATAAATGATAACTTACGACCGGTAAATCAGCAAAAAGGGTCTGGAGAACTAGCTTTTTCACTATGACAGTGTGGCTCGACATCTGCACATATGTCACCCTCCCGCCTTGATTGTATAGCTTGAGAAATAGGAGTCTTCATACTACTAAATTCATTCCTCATCTCTTGCATGGTTGCTTGAAATTCCTCTCTTTGATTGGCTAATGCCTCTTGCACTTTTCAAGTAACCGAAAACCGAGCACCACCTCCAAGATATAAAGATTTTCCTCTCATAATAGCACACACAATATAGCACACAAGTGACACACCACGAATATATAGTAAGTGTAGTTGGGGAAAATTGGAGATACAGGATAAGCATTTAAGGAATAAAGTTTAGTCAAAACGATGCGGTGACATATGCAAAGGCTCATACCAAGGGGTGTTGTAACCACAATTTCACGTAGCACATAACACACAAATTTTAAAACAAGCCCCCGAGTCCCATGAGTCATGAAAAACCGTGAAACCCAAATGGCCGGACTCGCGACAGTATACATTGCCGTAGGGGCCCATGGCCGTGCGGGCTGGGCGGCGGGTCTCA